GCCCAAAGCTCAGGGGAAATCCTACCCACCTCTGGATTTCGGCATTCCACATCTCAGCATGCATGCTCAAATCGGTGGATTCAGCTTGTCTCATGCTTCTTATGCTTCTGTGTGTGTTTGTGTATGTGTGTTTTCCTGTAAGTCTGTGCAAAGTGGCAGGATACAGGACTATCAATGATCATAATAACAATCACCAGTCTTGAGTACATATTCTCTATTAGCCACTACACTATGTATTTTCTGTGCGTTATCTCCTTTAATTTCATCTTTCCTTAGAGTGGTGTATTAGGATATCCAGCTGATGCTATAAAGACCACAATAGTAGAGCCTGAGGTATACTCCCTTTCTGTGAGTCCCTGAGCTGCTCTTCTCAGCCTCGTGGTCCAAGATGACTAGATACCAGCTCCATGCTCCAAGGACAGGGAAGGGAGGAGGCCACATACAAGTCGTCACCTGTAACAGATCTGCATCTGTCCCTTCTGATGAGATGGGTCACCTGGCCATGCCCAGCTGCACGAGAGGCTGGGAAAGTTCTTATCCCAGAGTCACATTTCAAGCTGAAATTGATGGGTTCTAGAAGGAGAGAGAGCTTCCTTGGTGGCTCAGGGATAAAGAATTCACCCACAATGCAGGAGCCACAGGAGACGTGCGTTCGATCCCTGGGCTGGGAAGATCCCCTGGAGGAGAGCATGGCAACCGACTCCAGTATTCTCACCCGGAGAATCCCATGGACAGAGGAGCCTGGTGGGCTACAGTCCGTGGATGACAAAGAGTTGGACACAACGGAAGTGACTTAGCACGCACACGCAGAAGGAGCGAATGTGTGTTGGAGCCCGCTAGCAGAATCTACACCCAGTGTGTTTTATGATTGTCCTCTTTTGGTAGGTGAGAAAATCAAAGTTGTAACTAGACTAAAGTAAGACAGAGAATACACGGCAGAATGAGGGATCTGAACCAAGCCTGTTGGACTGCAGCTCACGTGCCTCGCCGACTCTTCCAGAGCCCCTCTCTTCTTTGTTGGCGATGTCACAGCTTAGAGGTAGGACCTATCAGGGTGCTTCTAGACACATTGCTAACATATTCAGAAGAGAGACTCTAGAGTTGGGTCTGACCGTCAAGATCAGCAGCCTCCTAGTCTGGCAGAGAAAATGTGGGCAACGATGGTCAACAGTCAGGAATACGAAGGGAAGCTTCATCTGGCATCTTATTCATCTACAGACTCTGAAGATAAACTTCTGGTGTCTTCAGACCAGAAGCATTTTTTATTTAACATTAAAAAAATATTTATTTACTTATTTGGCTGCAGTGGGTCTCAGGTGCGGTGTGCAGTGTCTTTGGTTGCAGCGGGCACACAGACTCTCTAGTTGTGGCCTCAAGGCTCGGTAGTTGTGGCATGTGGGCTTAGTTGCCCTGTGGAGTGTGGGATCTTAGTTTCCCAACCAGGGATCGAACCTGCATCTCTTGCATCGGAAGGCAGATTGTTACCCACTGGACTACCAGTTCAGTTCAATTCAGTTGCTCAGTTGTGTCCGACTCTTTGCAACCCCATGGACCGCAGCACGTCAGGCCTCCCTGTCATCATCAGCTCTCGGACTTTACTCAAACNTATTTGCCATGAAGCAATGGGACCAGATGTCATGATCTTAGTTTTCTGAATGCTGAGTTTTAAGCCAACTTTTTCACTCTCCTCTTTCACTTTCATCAAGAGGCTCTTTAGTTCTTTTTCACTTCTGCTATAAGGGTGGTGTAATCTGCATATATGAGGTTATTGATATTTCTCCTGGCAATCTTGATTCCAGCTTATGCTTCATCCAGCCCACCAGGGAAGTCCCCTAAAGGCATTTTTTTAGATCTTTGGTTCCCTTGATGAGAAATCAATCTTATGGAGCTAGAAGGGATTTCCAAATAGCTCAGTGGTAAAGAATCTGCCTGCCAAAGCAGGAGATGCAGGAGATGCACTGGGTCAGGAAGATGTCCTGGAGTAGGAACTGGCAACCCGCACCTGTATGCTTGCGTGGAAAATCCTATGGTCAGAGGAGCCTGGTGGACTATAGTTATGGGGTTGCAATGAGTTGGACATGACTGCACGCACAGACACATGGAGCTAGGATGTTGCACAGCTGGGTCTTAAGGAGAAAAATGTGTCCCCAGCACCCAGATGGAGGCTTTCTTTATAAACTTTTACTCAGCAGAAGTGTTCAGATTTCATCAAGAGGAATTCTCATCCTCTGTGGGCTCAGGAGCCTGTGTAAAACCTCAAATTTTAAGTTTGTAAATGGATATTTTGAGGTGGAGTACCACGTGATGACTTAGCTGTTGGGAGCTCAATAAAATGAGTCATGGAGAATAATTACAGTCGTGGAAGATCAGGGCTTGGTGAGAGAGGGTAAGATGAGGTCTGTGGCATGGGTGACATCGGGATGAGTGTTAGGGTGAAAGTAATTACAGGCAAGTGATCTGCAGTAGAAATATATTGTGAGTCACGGACACCATTTTACATTTTCTAACAGCATTCACTAATATAATTTAAAAAAACAAGTGAATAGACTTTAACAATACATTTTATTTCAACCAATACCTACAAATATTATTTCAACTTATAATCCATGTAAAACTTAAAGCTATATTTTACCTTTTTTGGGTATGAAGTCTTTGAAATCTTAGGATGTATTTATACTGATAGCAAGTCTTAATGTGACCCAGCCTCATTTCAGGTGTGTGATAATCATGTGTGGCTGGGCTGTGATACAGAGCAAAGCAATGAAACCCAGTTAGACCTCGAAGTCCAGCCACTCAAGTTCGTGTGGGAGAATTTGAGGAAATCTTAGAGAATCTGAACTGCTTTAGCCTCCAAAATGCTACATAACCAATATTGACCAACAATACAATAGTTCCAATACTGTCTCAGTTGTTCTCGTCATTTCTAACAGCATTTCTCTGATGTAAATAAGTTTGGACATAAAGAGTGTTCCTGGAGATAGATAGAATAAGTTCTCCTATGAACCAGAAATTAGTAAATGGAGAGGGAGAGCATTTTGTAACTTAAAATGAGAAGAGAGTAGAAGGCGTTTCAGATAGAAAAGCCAGGAATGATTTATTATCCTGACAAAACCAGCCAGACATCGACATTGGTCAGGGTTACACCACCGCCATTCTGGAGCATAATCAACGTTAAAAAATGGATTTGCTGCATCTCTACCCAAATCCACCCTGATCACCTGCCTTGGAAAGAGCCTCCAAAAAAATTCAATTGAAAATGAGACATGCAGCTTTATGGTCTGTGAACAAGGAAGAATATTTGAAATACTTGAATTTAGAAACTGCTAGGTATTATAGCACAGAATGTTTCTTGTTAACACAACATAAAAGAACATTTATATCATTTGCCAATATGATGACTTAAGTAAAATAGTAACTATGTGTTTTTCCCACAGGATTATTACAATGAGCACAAATTCTCATCCTATAACATCAGATACTGATGCAGTTCCATGTTTTGCTTTTTTAACAAAACAAAAGCAATAGCAAATAATGGCAGAATACCAATACTACTTTACTTATCCAAATTATCTCATAGAAATGTAGAATAGTTANAGTCGCTTAGTCATGTCTGAGTCTTTGTGACCCCATGGACTGTAGCCCGCCAGGCTCCTCTGTCTGTGGAATTTTTCAGGCAAGAATGCTGGAGTGGGTTGCCATTGTCTCCTCCAGGGGCTCTTCCTGGCCCAGGGATCCGTGTCTCCTGTGTCTCCTGCGTTGGCAGGCAGATTCTTTAATAACTGCGCCACCTGGGAGTAGAGAAGAAAGGTGATTTAAGTAAACACAAACTGATCTTTAAGAACAAGCCAAATGGCAATTACTGAGTGGTCTGATCTGACGATCACTTGGCCGGTACCCTCCGATTTCCCTTGAACACTCCAATGCTGAAGCGTCTTTAGGAGCTTATTCATCTAAAGGGTCTCGAGGGAGAAGGGCAGTGAGCTGCGGAGATGACACTGCGCGTCGGCATCAGCCGTTTCACAAGGTGTGAATGAGAAAAAACA